TAAGCAGACTACACCAAAAAGGCATTTATAAAGTGACGCTATTTTCATCTCCTCACCTGCCAAGTGAATGCATCACCGCGCTGTTTTTCAGCTTCCAGTTCACGGGTACTGCGTGGGAATGCATTTCGCCAAAGAAGGATGAGGCGAGGCAGGTGCGGGCGCACCGCGGTCGGTCCAAGAGCCATGCACGCTCCCAGGAGGTACCAACCCGCCTGCGTGCGTGCCATTGTCAGGCGACTGTTTTGATTAGCTGCTCGTAGAAGGTCCTCAGCCAAAGAGAAAACCTATGAATGAGAGCAATTTAGTAACAAGTAAATAATGAAAGTCGAAATTGAAATCAGCGAGGAAAGCAAGCTGTGTGCTTGTAATCTCCTATCGCATACGTGTATTTCAATGCCAATTTCTAGATCTGAGTTATGCTAGCAACGTAGGCAACAAAATCAATTTATGTCATGCTTAAATTAATAAAAAAGTGGATCCTCCTTATGAATTCAACCATCACTAGAAGGCAGAGGACTTGGTAATAACGCATTGAGAATGAGGACAGGCTTGCAGCCTGCGGTTGATAGAAGACACCAAGAGTGAAAGTTTCAGTATCCAAATATGATGACAATGGAATTCATTAAGGGAGGCCAATAAGACTATTAAAATTAGTCAGTAATAAAAAAACTAGGGAAAAAGATAAAGCTTAAAATTAACCGACAAAAAAGCTTTTCAGCAAAATCGTCACAAAACTGGAACGAATACCTGCATGCGTTGAGTCAGAAGCAATCAGACAGAAAATTTCGTCAGTTAGTAGAGAAAATACAAACCGAACAAAGGACGCAATGTAAGGCAACGCACGCGCCCATACTAGATGTAGAATGGCTCCTGAAAGGTTTCGTAAATTTGCTCCGTCTGAAGATGTCCCGACTTCTGCCTCACATTAGTTACCTGCTGTCTACTATTTCACCAATGGGAGAAGTAACATCAAGGATATTTTAGTTGAGGAAGCGTTGAGACGGCATCCGTACCGACACAACTCAAAGTTCATCAACTACCCATGCGCATAAAATAAGTGTTACCTTTTGACGATGAGGTGGAACATAAACTTTAAGAAGTGGATAAATCCTTGTGCTTTATGCGTTTTCTTAACTTTGTAAAACGTGTTAAAGGCCCTTCTCACTACTAGTTGGCTAAGAAACTGGAGTTTATAAGGCACACTATCAACGCGTAGGAATGAAGGAAAGTCTGAGGACCAACTTGACTTTCAGCGGCCTCGCATAATATAGGGAGTTTGGATAAGAGGCAAAGCGTATGAAGAACGGAGTATGATGCGCCAGCTGATGGAATTAACCATAAGAAGCTAAAAGGCCTCTAGAATTTGAAGCATGATAATTTTTGAAAGCAGTTTACTATTTCACGCCACTGGATGAGCAGTTAGACTTCGATCTTGCCGAATGGAATTTGTGGAATCATCCCCAGACACCAAATAAATGATTAGAGATATGGATAAGGTTAGTTATTGGAAAAAGAAGCTGGCATTTTGATTTTTGGCAGCTTATTATTCAAAGTCATAGATCAATTGTAAATAAAACAAAAACTCATATTCAGTTCTTAAAAAAACATCGAAGATTACCTAATCGCGAAAGCT